TGTAGAGAACAATAAGTTTGAAATTTGTAGCAAAAAAAAATCGAAATCCAATGTAAAACAAACTAGTTATGGTCCGATAAATTTTTGTTAACGATTTGAAAAAAGCTCTAACAGCACACCTGGAAACCTATGCAGCCACAAAAAATCCGGTCAGTTACCCATGAATTCGATTTCATTGTCTCCCAAAATAAGGAAAGAGAAAGAGAACACATAACTTAAAATGGAGTCGGTTGTACCAAGTCAATTTGGCCTTTAAATTCAAATTAGTTTTTTTGCTCGTGCTTCGCAGCTATATAACTAATCAATTTTGTTGTCGTAAATTTTATCTACTCATTTAATGATTCAATTGAGATAAATTTATTCAAAAACAGTTTGAGTGAAAAAATTAATTTACATAGTATCTTGATTATTATGGAAGACCTATATAACACATTTTGATTGAATTATAACGCATGATTTAATAATAAAATCAAGTTATGGACTAGTCTCACATTTAAATGAAGTTATGTAAACCTTATATAGTGAACGGTCCTTTTGGGTAATAAAGAGTAACACTACATTATGTAAATTGTTAAGCCATTATAGGAGCATTACAGAACACAGGTGATTAAACTCTTACATAGCAAAAAAGTGACAATGTCATTATGTAATCTTTATGTAATGTATTTGCATCTTATGTAATAGTTATAAACTGTTATCTAGTAAGTTTTATGTAATCACGACTCTTTACGTAATGAGGACTAATATCATATTACGTAAAGTGTCGAATCATTAACTATTACGGAAGAAATCGTGCATTTGTATTTTACCTAACTATTAGCAAATTAAAAATACATTTAAATGATTATGTATGTATTTTATTTATTTTGGTGAATTAGATTCATTTAAAAATATCAACTCAACTACCTTCTACTGCAAAATGTGATGATACTATTTAGTGGTATGAAATTGATGAACCACAGTTTCAACATAAATTACTATCATTGATTTTTCCAATACAACCTCCGATACGGTTTATAATTTTTGCAATATATACTCAATTTAACTCTTGCTATTATATGGGTTATCCGATAGATAGTATATAACTGTTGCTATTATATGAGTTATTTCCACTCATTATGGGTGTAGCGGATGCTTGGTTAGTCAATAAATAATATCCAGAGCAAGGACTTGGGTCTATCGTAGAGCAGACCGCAGGGTACAAATTCTTTGATTGTGAACAGTACTCGAATAAGTGTTTCTGATTAAATAAAAGTTTATGTTATTTTACCGTATGCAATGGTAAATAAACTTGCAAATTAATATAATTACTAGATAAATGGCCCGCGCTGTGCAGCGGGTTGTTGAGGAAACAATACCAGTTAATTAGCGTTAAAGAGTTCCATTTTTCTTAAATTGTTTTGGACGTTCTTAGAGATCAAACAAATGTTTTAAAATTTTTATCTTTAGAAATACCAAAATAATATGGGATTGAATTATTGAGTATGAAAATATAGCGCATGGTATGGTGCCAACAATCAAAGTGGAAACTCTAAATTCTAGTGCTTTTGATATGGACAATTTATTTTGGTATGTAACTATGAATTAACAAAACTAATCAAAGCGTATTGTCTTCTTTGTAACCGTAGAAGCCTGATTCAAAATTGAACATAGTATTTGAAATTTGGTCATCTCAATAAAATGTAAGTGAATTATCCTTCATATATATATATATAAGACCTTCCATAACAATCCCAATATACGATACTCAATTCAAAATTCTTAAGATTATAGATAATAGAAATTAAAAAGATGGCACTGGAATATGACGGGATAATTCATAGTATATGAAACATGGAAGATACTAAGTTGTACGAAATAATGAGAAAGATTGTCTATATAATGAGAACGATCACTGAAGATGAAACTGAAGCTGAACTAATTTTGATGGGGAGAATGAACAACCCTTGAGTTATACAGTGTACCATATGCAAACAATTAAACCCTTAAAACACTGGGAGAAAATAAGATTAAGAAGTGCACTTATTGATTAAGCAACTAAATTCACTAATTAATAGTAAATTTCCATGTGATCAAGTTCGCCTTAATATTAATCAAGTTCCATGTGAATGTTGAGAAAATTTCCTAATTGATTAAGCAACTAAATTCACTAATTAACTATCCCAACAAAATTACACTAAAGATATCAAAATCAATTAACAAAAAAAGTATACTAACAACAGCTAAAAGTTCCTAAAGATGAGGTTGGTCTTTTAGTTGACAAAGGTATATTAAAATTTATGGCATTTGAATATACATAACTTCGGCTCAATTTCCAACATCGACAACATTCGGCAGTTGGCTTCTCCCCTCTGCAGAAAACACAAAAAAACCTGCAAATAACACTATCAAAGTCCAGAAGATATTAGACCTTCGTAGTCCATTCAATTCTACCTATCCATAAGGGGAACAAAATCCCACCAGAATTTATCATAACAAACTATAGCTACGAAGCAAGAATCAACGCCTCTTAGATATCACTTTTTTTCCAGCTTCAGAACAACATTATAGGTCCAAAGTGTAGTGACATACTGCAATCAAGACAATTAAAGAATATTAGCATGAGACTTAGCTTAATAGCCACTTAAATAGCTTCCAAAGAAAGGAAGGGGTTATGTTTAGTATGTTAGGAGAAGTTGACAGTGTAGAGAAAACGTAGAAGACAAACTATGGAGAATACCATAAACAACTATACAACACTTAATAAATATAATATATTGAAAAGTTTACCAATTTGAAACAGACCATTAACAGCTCATCAAATGGATGAGTAGTAACTGGAGATAAAAAGTGGAGAATAAAAAAACTGCAAGATAGATTGAGCTCTAAGGAAGAATTATCTGCACACAATACAATCTAAATCCCACATATAACCTGCTTAACTTTTTGATTCCCATTTGCAAGATTCCATCTCCCATTTATCTCATGGAAGGATTAGAAAGAGATATTCAAATTGGAATACCAATCTCATGGAAGGGGCATACTACAAAAGCATCCATTGACCTGACATCTATACAATTGATTCTAAAGTGTTCAAACCAAGCTTTTGTCAACCGTTTGTTTTATCATATGAAACCCAAAAGGAACATCCTCAAGCTCAACTTATATGCATGGCAAGCTAATTCATAGTCCTACTCTAATTCAAGGTAGTAATCAAGAAATTAGAAATTTTTAAATGACATGACCTTCTTACGTTCCTCTGCCTCTCCATATCACCGTCGGAATGAATCAAACGGTTGAGAGTGCATTTTGCTGGGAGTAATGCCACGATTACTGTGTGTTCCCAACCAACCATCCAACTTGTACAAGAACCACAATTGACTTAGTTGTTGAAGCAACTTCTCTATACAACTGCGTTTTTGGGAACATTGCTGGCTACATGGGTGGTAGAACCCTTATGAGGAAGAAATGGGGTTATCAACTAAACGATATTATGCTGACATAACTTAAAATAACCAATGAGTATGAAAGAATGAAAATCTATGCAATTTCTTTGTGTTATCAAATTCTCTATGTTATTATTTCTGCCTCAAATCACAACATAGCATTAAACTGCCGCCATTACATTGGAAGCACCAAGTTTGTAGAGAACATCCTAGTAGAAGTAGAAGCGTTAGTAACAAAAGACCATTTGCTGAAAAGCCACCAAACTGTAGCAAATCATTCGGTTTTTCACCCAAGTATATCTCTCTTCCCATACAACAAACATGGAATTAATAACCTCCTGATAAGTATGGTTAGATGGTGGAAAGGGTGAATTGGATTATAATTACTATTTATATAACACCATGATTCACCCCACTAAATTCATTGATCTATCAACCGAGAGCTAAGCTAGTCATATTAGATCACTCTATACTACTTCAGAATAAACTTTTCTAATGTAACTAATATGTAAAGTTCAGTCCCTGTGATCAAAGAACACCCTGATCAATACCAACCAATCGAAAGTTGATGATGAAATGAAGATAAAAAAAAGCAATAACAAACTTACAGTACTTACGGAACACAAATACAGGCAAGACCACCAATCACAATTAAAGAAGCGATGAAAGCCCAAAAACCTCCATTACGCCCGTGAGGGCTTCAAGATCCCCTCCTCTCTTCCTCCTCCATAGATGCTTAATGGTTGCCGGAAGAAGAGTGCGCATCTGGGGGAAGAAGAAACGCCGGGAAGAAAGAGAGACGATGACTGGGACGATCATCAACTGATTCTGGTCTAGCTCCAACTGGCGGCTAGTAGCATCCTTGGTTCACCTTCCCTTACGATTTAGCTATCAGATCTGAAGAAGCGGACTCGAACAAACTCTTGAGGAGTTGAGATTTCCAACTTCACAGAGGTCAAGAATATAGATCGGCGGCAAAGCAGGCTCTTCCCCTTCCAGCTCCATCTTCCACGACAACCATTTCCTTTACTTTGTTTCAATTCCATGGAAAAGAAATAGGAGTAGAAGAAAATGGATGGTCGCAAGAATCGGAACGCAGAGAGAAAGGACCGAAAAAAAGAAGAGAGGAATCAGGAATGAACTGCCCAAAAAAAAGAAACAGAGTTCAATAGGAGAGAGAAGACAAACATGTGATTTAGGGATAAGAATCCAAAAGTTGAGATTGGCTAACATAATTATTGATCAACGGCTTAACTTAGCCAGCCCAAAGTTAGTGAACTCGGGCTCAGTCAACACTGGCCGTAGGAAACCCAAATTCCCAAGTGAACAGTACCTCCGATTTTTTCTTATGGAATAGTAACTTTGATTTAAGGTAATTTTTCATTACTTGTGGTTTAATAATTCTAACTAATTATTTAATATTGACAAAATTACCCCTCACAATTAGATCACGGTCTTCTAAATCCTAAACCCAATTTTTTTAGGGGCTTGCTATTTGCCGCCAACCAAATTGCTATTTGCCGCCAACCAAAAAAAAAAGTATATATATACATCTTTGGGTAAGGAGTTTCACAATCTACAACATATCCAACTTTCAGAGAACGTATTGAATCAGAAAAATTCAACACTCGCCGGAAAAGTCGCCGGAAAATCATCGGAAAAGCCTATACTCGACATATACTACGTACACACATCAATGAATCATCACTAAGCAGGTGCGTAATTTTTTTGTAGTTTCGAACAATTTTTCCGACGATTTGAAACGAACAGACGGTGGGCCGAAAATTTCCGGTGGCTGTAACCTGGCCGGGCCAAAATTTTCCGCCCGGTCATGTTCCGGCCACCGGAAATTTTCGGCCCGGCCAGGTTCCGGCCACCAGGAAATTTTCGGCCCACCGTCTGTTTTTGCAATTTTTCTGAAAAATTTGATTTTAGGAGTTGAATTTAGATTTTAGGAGTTGAATTTAGAGTTTAGGAGTTGAATTTAGCATTTAAGAGTTGAATTTAGCGTGTAAGAATTGAATTTAGAGTTTAGGAGTTGAATTTAGCGGTTAAGACTTGAAATTAGCGTTTAGGTTCACAGGAATATTGATGTATTATATTGTAATTGTAGGAAAAATGTCAGAGTTGTTACCGGCCGATCATGATTACACACAGGAATTTGAGAATGGGATCCATTATGCAAGTGTGGAGTTAGCTGAGTTAGCTGCAAAAACAATCGCTCAGCAGTGTGGGTTCTTTATTATTAGAGGAGCATGGAAACCGAATACTGTTGGACTACATCCTGTTAGTGCCCTCTGTATGTATTGCGACAGAAGTAGTAGGATCGTTAAGTCTTATAAACCAGACCCTACGAAGGAGACGCGTGGGAATATTAGTTCGAAGGGTACTGGTTGCCAGTTTCATATATGTATAAAGGAAGTATGGCAAGAGAATGGTCCAAACACATGGGTCATAGTGGGAGTGACAAGTCGTGAAACCGGAGCTGATAGAGGGTTTCACAACCATGAAAAGGTGTTGTATCCAGAACATCACCGACACAACAAACAGTTTAGTGAGGCTGAAAAAGAGAGGTTAAAATTAATGAGGAAGGCGGGGGTGAGACCAAATCAGCAGAAGACGACACTCAATACTGAAGGGGGTGTGCATCATGATATCAAACAGATGTACAACATAAATTCCAAGACAAGATTGGATGAGATGGGTGAAATGGATGCGATACAGTTTACGCTTCACGGAGCTGAACATCGTGGGTACCATATCTGTTTGCAAAAGGACTCTAATAATGTGCTCACTAATCTGTTTTTTGCGCACCCGACGTCCATTCAGATGTTGCATGCATGGCCGTACGTCATCCTCATTGACTCGACCTACAAGACCAACAGGTACGGCTGGCCATGGGTTGAGATTATTGGGGTTACTCCAGTGAAGAAGAATTTCAACATTGCATGTGCAATTATTAAGCAGGAAACAAAGGAAACATATGAGTGGCTGTTGCGATGTATTAAAGGGTTGCTCGGTGATACGGTTCCGAATGTCAATTGTGACAGACAAAGAAGGTGGTTTGCTTGCTTCTATTCCTGTGGTCTTCCCTCTCCCACATACTGTCCACCTACTATGTTTATGGCACGTCAACAACTGTGTGAAGCAAAAGTTTGAAGTGTTACTTGGTGGAATTGCAAAAAGAGAGGTAGCACAAGCGGTATGGAAGAAATATTTCGACAAAGCTGCATGGAGTTGGACTCAGGAGGGTTTTCTTCAAAAGATTAATGAGTTTGAGAGGGTTTGGACAGTGAAGAACAAAAAAATGGTCGACTACGTGCGAGGTGAGTGGTTGCCTCATCAGACAATGTGGGCAAAGTGCTACACGAACCATGTGTTTCATCTTGGTAACACGAGCTCGAATAGAGTTGAGTCATCTCACTCTTCATTCAAGACTTTCCTTGTGTCTGGTAGAGGAGCGATCGACACTTGTTTTGCGAAGAACCACAACTACATGGAACAACAGTTTCTGGAAGTGGTGAATGAACTGCACAAGTCACTGAACCGCAATCTGGGTAGGGCAATTGAGCCTCTGTGCACGTTTTTGAGGAGGGTCGTTAGTTCTGAGGCAATCAAACTGATGTTAGATGGGGCGGTGGAGTTGAAGGACAGTTGTGCGTGTCATTTTCAGATGACACATGGGCTCAAGTGTGCTTGCCAAATTGTTCAAGCTAAGGAAGAAGGACGTCAATTCTATGCTCAAGAGTTGCATGTATTTTGGCGGACTTTGGATTATAAAAAACCCCCACGTCAACAACAAGTCAGTGATGAAGGGGCAGGGGTAGGAACAATGCATAGTGTTGCAATACTCTATTTATATGTTGTTGTTTTTCTAGTTGTAATTTTAATGACCCTAGTGTCATTATGAACTTATGGATTTCATTATGGATTTCGAGCGAGTTTGGGGTAGATTGGACGAAGATCGGGCGCGAGGCAAGTCAAAAAGAAAGCCACACGGTCACACACACAACTCACACGGCCAGGCTGGGTGAGCTACACGGCCGTGTGAAGTTGCACTCTGGCCGTGTGGAAATGTGCGAGGCTTCACACGGCCAGGCTGGGTGAGCTACACGGCCGTGTGAAGTTGCACTATGGCCGTGTGGAAATGTGCGAGGCTTCACACGGCCAAGAACCTAAGCTACACGGCCGTGTGGTGTTGCACCCTGGCCGTGTGGTTGCACTTTTTTCATTGTTAGGTGTTGTGTTTTAGCTTGTCAGAAACATGCAGTCTAAACATAACCATCCGATCCAAACATACATAAGTAGTCAAACATCCGATCTAAACACAAATATGGAAACATGCAGTCTGAACATAAACATCCGATCCAAACATACATAAGTAGTCAAACATCCGATCTAAACAAACATATGGAAACATGCAGTCTGAACATAAACATCTGATCCAAACATACATAAGTAGTCAAACATCCGATCTAAACACAAATATGGAAACATCAAAACAACTAAAAATCCCCTGGAGGGGGGAGTCCCCGAGAAGCCCAGTACTCAGTCCACACGTCCTGCACTCCGTGTAGTGCCCTGTAGGCTCGTCGAGAATGCTCAACAAACTCCTCCTCGGTCCCTGCTGCTGCTCGAACCGCAGGTGCAAACGTGTACAAAAGGTCGCGACCACGCTGCATGAAAAAAAAAACAAGAACAATTTTTAGTTTCATGCTAAGTATATTTATAATAGAGTAACGATTTAGTGGTCAAATCTTACCGCTGCGGAGTCAACTAGTCGATCTGCCTCTCCATCATCCCGTAGGACTCTACAATGAGAGTGCGCCATGAACCAGTCAAGATAGTCTCTGGTAGTCTCATATGGATACGTCGTCCACGGCTGAGAGTACATGTCTATATGAACCATGTGGGATAGCAGAGCATCCCATGCAGCATCAAAACTCTCAGGAATCCGAATGACATATCCACCAGGTGCCTCTGGTCGGTCTGCTCGCTGAGGACGCGAAGGGGCAGGCGGTACCATCTGTCGGTATCCAAACTGTCGGAGGCAACGGGCTGGATCATAGAACTCGCCTATGTCAGCAAACCGGATGACTCCAGTGTACAAAGAGCGACGCACTGCCTGATGAGGCCTTTGATGGAAAGGTGTCCAAAACACATCAGAAGGGGTCAAGCTGTCAAGAGCTCGAAGGTAGAACGCCAACCTCCCACTGGAATCAGCCACAAAACCAGGTGTCGGCTGCCCAACCCATCTTGAAGCCCAGGCATCATCAGTTCCAACAGCGGCAGGCTCGAAGTGAGATGGCCTGAAACCCGGAAAGTACTCGTAGATCCAGCACTGCAGAAGTGTGAGACAACCAGCCATCCCCCGGGCACCAGCACGAGACGCCTGACCAAGGTATATGTACAACCAAGCAAGTGTACCTGACGCCCAACTATACTGATCTAACTCCTCCAACTCGTCCAAAAATAGGTTCACCACCGACCGAACCCTGTCTCTACTCTTGTCCACAAACAAAGTGGACCCCAACAGCAACAACAAGTACGACTGCGCCTCTGTCACATGTGTCCCGTGGCTCTGCAAGTATCTGGACGCCATCTCTGCAAAAAAACCACCCTTCTCGTACCACTCACCCCTATTATTATATCCAGGGACCTCCGAACGACCACTCAGCTGCTCCGAGTTCATCCCAAGAAGCGCACACAAACCCGCCTCCGGATGGTCAAGCTGCGCAGAACTCCTACTCATCAGTCGTCCCTCTACAGGAATCTGCAGTAAGTACTGAACATCGTGGAGGAGGATCGTCATCTCTCCAAAAGGCAAGTGGAAGGTGTTCGTGTCTGGCTGCCACCTCTCCACAAAAGCTGAGATCAAAGCCTCGTCAATCGTTATCTTGCGGAAATCAGGTGCTGGAGACCTGACTGCGCCACCAGATCCTCCGCCTCAACATGACTAAACACGTAGCTACTCAGATAAGAAACCGCCGATGTACGGCTGTAGCAACTGATGACCCCTCGATCTCCAGCCCCCGTCCAAAGCGCATAGGCAACGTGGCCACGAAAGCTCCTAATGAGGCTAGGATCCGTAGGTCCACCAGGACACTCACCAACAAGCTCCCACGGTGGAGGACCACTCGAACGTCCTCCTCCCCTACTCCGTCCAGTCCCCGAGCTCTCTGTCTCCTGACGAGCAGGTGGTACGAATCGCCCAGCTCGGTCCCTATACATAGCAGGAAGTGATGTTGCCATACAAGACGACCCTCGTCCATGTCCACGCGTAGGTGGAGGGACCTCGATATCCTCATCATTATCGTCCTCATCAAAATCAGCTGAGACCACTCTCGATGCAGCACCCTGGTTCCTCCCATGGGAACCAGACGCCCGTGATGCCGAACGAGCAACTACAGTAGGAGCCTCTAACTCATCCTCCCATAAATTTGCCTGTGACTGATGTCCAATATCTCGAGAGCGCTTATTCTTCTCCTTATTCTTCCTTCGTGCTGATACATCAACAACCCTACCATTGAATCTATTCAACTCATTCCCACCCGCATCACCCGCATCATCAATATCTAATTATCTACAAATTTAAACAATATCACACTTAGATGCGCACTAATTAATTAATTTTTTATTAACTAATGTACTATTAACATTAATTGTTAATTAATCACAAATTAATTAAATTTATATAAACATTAATTGTTAATTAATCAGAAATTAATTAATTTTCTATTAACTAATGTACTAAATATTAACATTAATTATTATATCAATTCTTAATTAATTAAAATTCCATTAACTAATCTAAGTAATTAAACTTTCAAACGCCTATTACAAAAAAACATTTATACACCAACTTAAATAAATATTAACACTAATTGCTAATTAATTATCATATTAAATTAAATTAAATACAAAAACTGGCCGGACCGAAAAAATTTTGCGGCCGGTGCGCCGTCCAGCCGAAAAATTCTTTCGGCCCGGCGACGTTCCGGCCGCAAATTTTTTTCCGCCGGCCGACGAACACGTCGCCGGAAATTTTTTGGCCGGCGTGTTCGGCGACCGGCCGAAAATTTCTTTCGGCCCGGCGACGCACCAGCCGCAAATTTTTTTCGGCCCGACGTCGCTCCGGCTGCAATTTTTTTCGGCCCACCGTGTTTTTCACCGGAAAACTGGAAAACGCGCCGGAAAACTGGAAAACCGACCGGAAAACTGGAAAACTTACTTGTTTTCCGACGATTGAGGGCGACGGGAGGTTAGCCGACGACAGAAGAACGGTGCTGGCAACGGAGGCACTGGGCTCGTCAATAGAAGTTTTTGTTGGAATGAGTCAAATGTTCTTGATATCCGAATTTATAGAATGAAAGGAAGGGAAGAGAGGGAAAATCCAAAATTTGAATTCAAAATTTTTTTTTTTGGTTGGCGGCAAATAGCCGTTCACTTTTTTTACTACCCTTCTTTCCAATCCATTCCAGCAAAAACTTCCAGTGTGCAGTAAAAGTCTGCAATTGAACATCGCATTATAAAAATCATTATTCATATGTTTGTCCCTATTTTGTGATCTATGGTGGAAGACAATACCATCTTCATTCATGACAGACCATAGTCGTGGAGAGGGCGAAATCATTACTCTGCAGGTGTTGAAACGGTGATGGGTGAACAAGTGGAAGCTTGAAACGACATCAAGAGACTGTGCAGGGATGTTTGTGGCAATGGGATGGACAGATTTTTGCCAATGATGACAATTTTGGGGTAGGGGATGTTTGCCTCTTTCAGTTGATATAAGTTCTTAGCAGAATGAATCTCAATCTTTAGAGGTTTACCAGAAGATATGATATCATCACAGTACCAGTCTGAGATGTTCCATTATCATGTTGTTGAACTGGGGAGTTTAGGGTAGAACCTATATGAGATGAAGTACATAGGTGGCAGTCTTTGTTTTTTCTTGATTATGACTGGATGATTGAGAATTATGTACACTGGCACAAGAAATTAATGATCATTTTGATGAAAATGAATCCCCATAAGCATGTTGTAGTCTACATCAACAGCCACTGAGGGCTGTCAAACTCAAACCATGCTTGTGTTGCTTGAGAAAGTGGAGCTTAAACAGTTGACAGACATTTTTTTTTTTTTTGGTTTCCTTTCTGCAATTTCCTCATCTTCTTTCTTTTTTTACGATATGAAAATACATAGAAATGAACTATAGTATAATAACTTCATCTCTCCTTCAACGAATGTCTCCAACTTGGTGGAGAACATAACTAACAGAAGCTTGGAGTAGAAAGTGAAAACTCTGCCTGCTCTCTGGAAAAAAGAAATGCCTGTAAGAAAACCCAAAAGAGCCGCGCTAAATAATAGCGGCCCTTCTCGACGACGACGGCTGAAGAAGTCCTCCTCTCCAGACGGATCCAGCATGGTGTTCTTCAGCATAATGCTTCCAAGTGTCATGGAGAAGAAGAAGCTCGTAAGACCAATAATACTCCTTCCTCTGTATCCGCCTGTTTCTTTTTTCATGCGTTTGCAAAGTGAACATACAGTCATACACGGTTACTCACTTGCTTCAAGGCCTCTTACTCTGTTACCATTTGGACCGGTTGACAGAAGCTTCCAGTGAAATTTGTGAGAAGATACGGTAGGCAACTGGGCGGGAATATGGCTCAACTCCACTTGCCAAACGGCAGCGTTTGGAACGTTGGTGTATCGAGCGGCAGGGGAACAAGGATTCAGGACATCTGCCTCGACCAAGGTTGGGCAAGTTTCATGGACAAGAACTCTGTCTTGCTGCATTATTTCCTCACTTTCAAATACGTTGGGGAGTCGATCTTCCATGTCCGGATATACGACTTGAGCACCTGTGAGATCCCCTACCCACCAATTCATGATCCTACCGACAACGGCGGCGAATCATCTGTCATTTACCTCGGCTCCACGAAATCGGAAGATAATGATGATGACGATAATGGGGTTGATGATGCTCTAGATTCGCATGGTGAGATGTGAAACTAACCATTTTTTACACCCTTTCTTTTTCCCCACATTGAGAAGTCTGTGACTGTTAAATCCCTTTTTTTTTTCTCTGCAGGTGAAGAGGAATGGGGTCCGATCTTGAATGGCCTAGAAGCTAGAGAAATCTACTTGAGCTGCAAGTTCTCTTGTACGTTCAGGAAATTGTCAGAAGCAAGCAAGAAGGCGCTGAGCGAGGCAATAAGGAACAAGCTCGAAGACGGTCCTTCGTTCGTTGCTGTAATCATGTCCCGTGGACGTCATAATCTGGTAAGAGGGCACACACTGTTCTGCCAATTTCATGTCATTCGATGCTGAAAGGTTCCTAGTTTGATTGGTGAACATGGCAGAATGTACCTACGGGATTTGTGAAACAGAACATGACCGGGGATGGCGAGGCTGTGATTCTGAAGGAGGTTGCAGGAGGAGGGAAATGGGTTGTTGAAGCCAGTTTTGGTAGTGACGGGATGTTCAGGCTGCTGGGAGAAGAATGGCAGAGGTTTTACCGTGAGAACAATTTGGAAACAGGGGATGTGTGCCTCTTTCAGCTGATGCCAAAGGAGAAGGTTGAGTTTCTGGTTTCAATCTACAGGGCCTCTCCGTTTCGAGGGTAGTCAAGTTTGAAGGTGATCGGTTTGGGGTTGAAGTTCATTTTGGGGTTAGGAAAATGTAGTGCTTTGACTCTCTGTTGAACTTGTGATGATTGTGATCAGTAAGGTCTTTTTTTGGGGGTTGGAACTTCTGTGCGATTAGGTCTGGTTTATTTCCTTTGTCAGTAGGGTCTGGGGTGGTTTTGATAATTAAGGTGTTTGAAATTACATTGATCTGTTTTGAGATGGTTGGTGATTTGCTAAAGGGGCTTCTCACTGGTTCAAAACATGGCAAGAATCCCAAGTTCAGGTGTCATTTGGAATCTGCTGCTTCCACCTTCATTTCATGATGGTTGCTGATCAATCTTCTTATTTTAGAGGTGGACAGAGAATTACAAGAATGGTAATGATGGATGGGCGTTAGAGGGAACATAATTTTCGAATTGCGTCAGAGTTGAATTGAATTTGGATTGTTTTTTAATTGAATTGATTTGGAATCATACGTCAATATAGTACATGAAATTATCCAAATGGTCAATATAGTACATGAAATTATCCAAATGGTCGTACCAATGTACGTAAAATCAAATTCTAACTATGATAACTCATTTTGAAATTACTCAAGTGACTTGCAACATCCAAAACTTCATGGAGGCCACTTTACCATCAATTCTCTAGTAATTGAGTTGAGATTTCAAATTTCTTTTCGAATTCAAGTATAGGGTTACTCTAAGGATTGATTGGGTAACAATTTGAAGTCAAGCAGCTGTTACTAATCTTGAAAATTATTGTAAAGGTTTGGAATTTGTTTACATGATCCAGCTTTCCAGCGTAAGTCCATTAAGTAAAAGCCTAGGAAATAAATTACCATTGAAGCCATGCATTTTCAGCATAATTTAATTCCAGTTTTCAGTCCCAAAATAGCAGAGGCACAACAACACAAGAGAATCAGACATAAACATAGAACCATTCCTCTGATTCATCCTAAACCTCTTGCAACCTTCATCACACACCTTTCCAATCACTTCCATCCCATCCAAAACCTAATTAACTACCAATCCACAGACCATGACATAGGATTGAACGGAAAACAAACAGACAAAAGGAAGAATTGGAAACCGAAGCATTATCAAGCTTTCTTACAGCAGGAGTTCTCCCTCAGTTACACTACTTCCCACTAGAGAGTTGGCTTCCCCGAAAGACTGAAACTTTCAACGCAATCCCATCCCGGGTCGTCAGTTTCTGGAACAAGCATACATCCCCTTCTTTTAACTTCTCGAATTCCATCAGCTCGCGCCACCCCTCGTTAATCCATAGCCCCGAACCACCTCTGGGAACAGTTTCGGCATTCCAGTTCTTCTCTTTACAGCAAAGTGCTACATTCTTCTTGCAATCTCCGCTACCCATATGCTCCTTAACAAACTGAGCAGGCACATTCTGCACCACACAGAAGGTGAGCAATTTAGTTTACCATGGGAGAGATTGAAATAGTAAACTTCCAGGAGGAGGGGTCATCTCTCACCAGCGGAGCCCCTGGCGCAATGTTGTGACGCTGCATCACCACTATGAAACAAGGCACGAGTCTGGGCTGCTCAGCGGCGGCCATTGCTTCTTCCAAGGCCTTCTTGCTTTCGCCAGACATTTTGCGAATTGTGCAGATGAAGAGTCTGCTGACGAAGATTTGTTTTGCTTTCAGGTCGTTCAACATTGCCCTGTTTCCATCTTCATCAACTGCAGAGTAGATAAACAAGAGAGGACTCGAGCACGAAATGAGCAAAAAAACAGAGCAGGAAGAGTCCAGATTTTACTGTAATTAACAATGTTACCAATTTGGTCGGCATATTTCCTTTTAGCTGGAAGCCCACTTCCTCTTTTCTTCGTTGGAGTTGGAAGAGAAGATCCAAGAATCTGGACGGAATCTTTATCGTGATCCAAGGATTCATCTTTAACGTTGAACTGAGATGGGTCGACGATTTCATAAGCAGCAGGGATTTTGAGTATCTGAACTTGGAACTTGGATGATCCCAGGTAATCAAACACCAGAAAACATCCGATTGAAACAGAGTTTTCCTCCACGAAGTTTGGCCACCCCTTATCCAGACAAATCTCTCCAGTTTGCTGCCCTTTGGTCACTCCAACCTTCAAAAAGGTTCCGTTTGGCAAGTAAATCCGGCAATTTTTTCTAAGTTCTTCGCCGTGCATTCTTGCAAACTTCAATGGCAGCTCCTGAAAAGAGGAGGCAGTGTGTATTGAAAGAAAGTAGGTGTAAAAAAAATGCAGAGGAAACAGAGGACTTGGTGTGTAATTAACAACTTACAAGCTTCTTCAGGCTGTCAGGGAGGATTACCCTGAAGAAACTTTTGCAGGGTCTCTCCATGGATGGCAGACGGCCCTTGTGGTTTTTCTTCTTTGAACAAAATAAAATGTGAACGATCTTTTTGGCTTTTAATCTTCAAGTTTGAGACTTGAGAGGTGTAGAAGGAGAACGGTGGCCATTGGCATATATAGGCGCGTAGGGGAAGTACCTGCTAAACATTTGGGATAATGGAAAGTTGGAAATTTGGAAACTGTACTGACAGTCAGGATATCTGTCAGCTGAGCTGATCCCTGGCTAGTTACTTCTTCTTTACTCTTTTACCAATTTCACAAAGGTTGTGGTAATAATAAAAACTAGCTCCATTATCAATAAAAGAATTGCCGCTGGAAGGAATAGCGATTCATTTCCATGTGACCCTTGGAATTTCCACACCACTGCAGCTCCCTCTCGTTATTCTAAAGTATCCAACTAAAGGCCCTTTCAGTTTTTCTCAAAGTACTGTGAAAGAAACAGAGCATTGTATCCGGAATAAGGGAATATTACCCATCTCCAGCAATCCTCCGCCTCTCATGGCTTTCTTCACAGTAATGCTTCCAAGCATCCTCCAAGAGAAGAAGCTGGTAAAAAAAAAATCTGACTGCTCATCCCCTTTTTGTTTCTGTACCCAAATATTTCCAGAATCCTCTGCAAATCTTAAAACATTTTTCTGACTGGTTGATTTTCAGAAATTGCCTAGGGAATTTGCCGGACAACAAGGCGGGAAGCTGACGGGAAGGGCTCAACTTTCCCTGCCAAACGGTCGAGTTTGGGATGTTGGCGTTGTGAAGGGATCGGCAGTGGGGGAATTTTGGTTCGACGATGGCTGGTCCCGTTTCGTGGGAGAAAACTCTGTTTCGGAATACTGGTTTATGTCATTCGTGTATGCGGGAGCTTCAAGTTTCAAAGTTAAGATCTTTGACCTCACCACTTGTGAAATCGATTACCCTTCAGGCGGCTTTGATAATGATGGTGTCGAAGAGGACGACTCGTCTGTCCAGATTCTGGATTCGCCTCCAAATCCACCAACCCAGCAAACTCCTCAATTCGCCGCTTTTGAAGATAGTGACGAGGACGACTCTGTTCAGTTTCTCTGTTCTTCCCAGCCACTCAAGAAGAAGAAGAAGAACAACAACAATGCTACTACTTCTCGTTATCTTTCCGGGTCCAAATCATCTGATTCCGGTAATGAAGTTGTTATGTTAAAGGAGTAAAAAGAAGTCATGTTTCTCTAGTTACATTTTCGTTCGACTTGCAGATGACGACCAAGATTTGGGTGAAATGCTGGTAAAGGAACTGAAAAGGAGGGAGATCTTCTTTAGCACAATGCTTTCCCACAAACTACATGGATGGCCTATGGAAATCAAGATGGCAGTGAAAGAAGCCATGGCGATCAACTGTGGGAACTTACCGTCTTTCCTTGTTGTTATGCAGCGACACAATAACAAACCACATCGCATGGTAGAAAGATGGCGACGCTCGTTTAACTTCAAATTCAACGTATAGGTGTTGGGTTCTGTGGTGTCATTATTGTGGCTAATCTGTTTATCTGACTATGATTGTGCGCCGTTCGTGCCACTTGAGTTTTGTAAGGAGCACATGATGAATGCTAAATCTGTGAGGCTGAAACTTTCAAGAGGAGGGAAGGACTCAATGTGGGATGTCACGATGCGCTTCATGGATCAAGGAGGGCCGCTCCTTTCTGGGAAAGGGTTTGCCAAGTTTTACAGAGACAATGAGCTTAAAGTTGGGGATGTTTGCTTGTTCCAGATGCTCTGGAAGGTCAATGTTGTGCTCCAAGTTTCAATCTGTGTTTGTTAGTTAGTGACTGTTCGAATGAAAGCCTCATTTGGTGTGTTGATGGTGGCACTTTGGCTTGCCAAAGTTTTACAGAGACAATTTGGTGGTGACCTTAGTGACTGATGACTCTTCGAATGAAAGCCTCATTTTGAAGTAGAGAATGTTGAAAGAGGAACACATTCCACAATGACTTGTACCATATCTCATCTATGAGTAGCCTAGGTAGTAAAAGATGCATGTGTACCCTGAAATCAATTGGATAAGAAAGTAACAGGGAATGAAACTCTCTAAACAACGAAGATGAAACGATTTAGTTTTGCAAACACTTGGGGAAGGAATAAACAATAGCCTAAATACGTGCAATAACCCGTTGAGCAAAAATTGACTCCAAGTTTAGATTCTGGTAACATTGATCTATCAACTTCATAATCTACACAAAATGGACTTGATTCAGAAAAAAGAATAGCTGACGAGTTAAAGAGAATGGGTTAAAGAGCTCCTCATAGATCTAAGACGAAAACACACACCATCTATCTATCTATATCAATACTACATATTATGGCAATTCAAAAACAATCTCTTGTCACATAAGCACTTGGAGGATTCACAATTTGCCAAGTTGGACAACTTTTTACAAACAAAAAAATTAGTTATTAATGTATTTATGGAGCTACCTCTCTCTTATTTAATATTTTCATTTCTTTTATCCAATTATTCTTTTTCATTTATCCATTTATTCTTTTTCTTTTTTGCTTTAATAATAAGTTACATGTTGATAAACTTAACCAAACATACATAAATACTAATTTTTTTGTCAAGTAAACAAAATTATAAATAGAAAACAGAGAGCGGCATATATCACATTTGTTCAAATAAAAAGTATCTGATTAAACCTTACGAAGTAAATTTTCTACTCATTTTTACTAAAATTGAATGATAAGTTACATTTTGATGAAAAAATTAAACAAACATACACATAAACAATAATATTTTTATCGATTAAACAAAATATATATGAAAAGAGAGAAAATAAACATTTGACATTCAATTACCTTTGAAATATAAACTATATTAC